GCTCTTGTTATTGATATACATTATCAGAAGTTGATGGCCCCAATCCTTAGCCGACCTAAATTTTGGCCAGACAACTGTAGGCTTGAGGATCAGTTCTTTGGTCCAAATAAAACAGCAATATTTCATCATTTGTTGCTTTTTTCTTAGGCTTAATCCTTTTGTTTTCCTTCTAATTTGTTAGCATACGCCCTAAAGGGCTGTCAGGAGGAATCTGATCACTGGAGTCAGCTTTACTTCCTGTCTTTGTTTTACTGGAAGCATTACCCGTATCAGGTACTGCTTGGGTGTAATCTTCTGAAACCAGTAGAAGACCCAAACCCTTAAGCTAGGGATGTCCTGCCTTTCTGCCCCTGGTCGGCCCAACCCCTCAAGCTAGGACTGTTTCACCTTTCCAGCCCTGGAAGGTTGACCTGTTCCCTCCCTTTTCCCTTCTGAAGGTCCTTTGCACACGTCTGCATACACACATCCATCCTCCAGAAGTTGACCACCAAAGATGTACTTTGTCACCCTCTTGCAACGTTTCCTACCTTGGCCCGTGCCTGAGGTTGCCTGGCCACCAGCGCTGCAAGTCTCTCTTTCCCTCATGTTGCTAAGAATCTGGGTTTATTCCTCGCAAAGGAAGAATGGGCATATTTATGTCTAATGCATCCGGCCCTATTGCTGTGTCCTGATTCCATTGGCTGGAACCAGACCTCACATTCTAGGCTATACCCGATTGGCTAACAACTTAAAACTTTCCTGAAGAGGTAAGGGCAGAGGAGAACAAAGGAAAAGAGGAAGTAGCTTACAGAATGCTGAGAGAAGCAAAAATACTTCTAACTAAGGAAAGAGGAACAAGCTGTGACATAAGCCTTGCCTGAGCTTATCCAGGCATGTCAGGGCAGATACCTAGGCTGAAATGTAAGAACTAAGAACACAAAATACACTGATTTCTTTATTTTAGCTATCAGATGTAACAAAAGCCTTTGAGTAGATTAACCCAGAGAAACAGACTACTATCTATTCTTAATAGGCTAAGAGAATTTGAAGAGGAACCTTTATTTACTTCTCTTTCTACACCTAGTGTGACTCATGTGCTTGCCTTCAGCCGAGAGCCAGGCTGGGGCTGGAACATTCACAATAGCCTTGCTCATATGTCCAGCAGTCGGTGCTGGCTATGGACAGGGGCATCTCTGGTCTTCTCCATATAGCCCCCATCCTCAGGGTCTCTCTTCACATGGTCTCTCCAATAGGAAAATCCACACTTCTTTACAAAGAAACAGACTATAATACCTGTTAAGTCTAGTACCAGAAGACATACAGTGTAATTTCCAACCCATCTTACTTGTCCAAGAAAGGTACAAAAGCAGCTCAGTTTCAAGATTCTGCCCATTGATGGGGAGTCACACAGTCACATTCCAAGTGGGTGACCTTTGGACACCAGTCTAAGAGGAAAGACCTAACAATATTGATACCAAGAGTTCCCTAAAGAAATAGCTCAGCCATATTACCTACAAGAAAGCCTGCTGTCAACATCCACCCCCACCTGCTCCTAATATACATACAGGGCTTCTAAGCATTTTAGCACTCTACTCTTAAATAGGGGATTCAACCAAAATACTCGACATCTGAAGAAAACTTCTAACAAGAAAGATAGAAACACAATCATTAAAAAACAAATTAGAGGAAATAAATTACAAAGGGAAAAGGAGATATTTTAACATTATCATTAATTTTGAAAGAGAAGAAAAGAAGATATTGTATCCATGAAACAAGAACAGAACTATTCAGTGAACTAATCAAAGCTCTTGGATATTAACAGCATCATAGTAGAAATGAAAATCTTAGTAGAAGAATTGGAAAATAACAAAACTAGAACAAACAGAAAAAAAAAAAATCAAAAGTAGTTAAGATATTAGAGGACAAATTCAGGATGTAACTAATTGGAGTTCCAGAAATAAATAGTAAGCATGACAACAGCAATAAGAGAGGAAAGGACATTATCAAATAAACAATTCAAGAAAATGTCTTCAAGCTGAAATATTTAGATTGTCAGAACAAAAGTCTACACCAATGTATAACACAATCTTGAAATGTCATTACATGGTGGACAAAATGAAACTCTTATACCCTTCCAGAGAGAAATATAATTGGTCTGTATAAAGTGAATCAGGATTTGTAATGACTTTGGACTTCTCAACAGCAATACTAGAATCCAAGAGGCAATGGAAAAATACCTACAAAATTTAGAGGTAAATTATCTCCAATTGCTGTACACTGGTGATTCATGCCTGTAATCCCAGCACTTTGGGAGGCCGAGGCCAATCACTTGAGGTGCGGAGTTCGAGACCAGCCTGGCCAACATGGTGAAACCCTGTAACTACTAAAAATACAGAAATTAGCGGCACATGGTGGCAATCATCTGTAATCCCAGCTACTTGGGAGGCTTGAGGCAGGAGAATCACTTAAAGGAGGTTGCAGTGAGCCGAGATTGTGCCATTGCAATCCTGCCTGGGTGACAGAGTGAGATTCCATCTCAAAAACGAAAACAAAACAAACAAAAACTATTTCCAAACAAAGTTTTTCTTCCTAGTCAAGCTATCAAGAAATTGTAAAAGAATGACATTTTCCTACATCCACAACCTCAAAAAATTTGTATCCCATGCATCTTTTCTCAAAATCTTGTAGCACATATTTTGTACCAGTAAATAGAAAATGTGGGATTCAAGCAGAGCAGAGGGGAGAGAAGTACCAGGATGATGGCCCAGAGATCCCTACAGGCAGCCAAGCACTGGCTGTGAGGATAACTTGACCACAGCTGGTCAGAAGGCCCAGGAGAGCTGTCATTCACAAAAAGGGAAATTGACAGAATGTCTCATGCATCTTAGTATCTTAAGAGATAAATTAGACAATTGGTGGGGGATCTGTGGTTATATTAAGTATATTTTAAAATCATGCAAATATGTAATCCCATCACTTTGGGAGGCCAAGGCGGGCAGCTTGCGAGGTCAGGAGTTCAAGACCAGCCTGGCCAACACAGTGAAATCCTGTCTCTACTAAAAATACAAAAATTAGCTGGGTGTGATGGCGGGTACCTGTAATCCATTACTTTGGAGGCTGAGGCAGGAGAATCGCTTGAACCCAGGAGGCACAGGTTGTAGGGAGCCGAGATCACACCCCTGCACCTGCACAGCAGCCTGGGCGACAGAGCTAGACTGTCTCAAAAGAAAAAAAAATCAGTGGTAAAAATGACAACCATTAATTCTATGGGAAATAAAATGTACAGAAAAATTACAGTATAGTATGTGGCTTAGCTGTGCATAACATGTATAGCCACTGTGTGTGTGTGTGGCATGTTTTATCTCAAATTTCTGGCTGTTTGTAACAAAAGAACTAACAAAGTAGATTAGTACCTCACAGTTCCGGAGCCAGATGTGTATTATCCTCCAGGGGCTACTGTACTTCAAAGAAGGAGAAAAAATCCTAGGCTTCAGAAGCTAAGGAAGGCTCCCTAGAGGATTTTTAAGTGTTTTGATGTACCTGGGAGATTGGCCTATATTACTCCTAAAAATAAGCTCTCTGTAGCCAATGATAACAATGTTTAAAATATGGCACATGCTGAACTCACAGTCTCTCATTTCAGAAAACAAATCTGCCTGTGTGTTCTCTGAAGTTCTTCTTCTTAGTTTGCCTCTTTATGCACTGTATTTTGAGTATTACCAAATCCTGAGCTCTTAAAAAAAAAAAAAATCCTGAGATGATTAAACACAAATGCTTATGTTAATGAATTAAGGCTAAAACCTGTGTGCAATGCAAGATGATCAGCAGTTATGGGAAGTTGTGCAAACCCTGATAGGGGAGCCTGACTAGCATAGAAAAGCTGTTCCAAAATGTCAAGGAGAGAAGAAATAAAAATACAGAGCAAGGAAATGTGGGTGGAGTGACAGCATAGGCACAGACAGCAGGAAACAAGGGAATGCTGAGACCACTGGCACCTGAGTGGTCATCAGAATTGCCTGAGGGGTTTGGACAAATACAGATTCCTGGGATCGATATTCAATTATGTAGGTTCAACTGGGTAGATTTTGTCCCTAGAAGTGTACTTGTAAGAGGTTCCCCTAGTGCAGGCAGGACCAATCTTCGGGGAAACCTCCCCTGGGTTCAGATGGAAATGCACTAACATCGTCTGGAACGACTGTTTCTCCACCTATTATTGGAAAAATTCACAAGAGGAGATCACACCACGCTTTGGAGAAGTCATTCCGTCGAAGACGTGTTAATTTGTTAAGCCTGTAGTTTGCACACTAGTGTTGAGCTTGCAGAGAGTGAGAAACTCCTCTGCCTAGACTTTTTTTGGTTGTTTTAGTACATGTGGGAAGAGGCACCTCACTTGGACACACTTCATTAGAAAAATATTTATTATGACTATAACTCTGATGGGCTTAGTTTTACATGTTTCTGCATTAGGCCGAGTGGAGCTCAAGAAGCTAAAAGTCGCCCATGGGAGCTGTCCGCGGTGCTGAACGCGGTAGCCGGCTCCAGCCTTGACCTTCCCAGCGGGAAAGGGCCCTCGGTCCGGCCCCCAAGCCCCATTTTCCTCCATGCTCCCACCTCCACGTCTTCCCTTCCCAGCGCTGCCACTGGCGAGGGCGGCACTGAGATTTCTGTCCTGGGCGGCAGACGACCTTGCGTTGCACTTCCTCCCCCGCCTTCTGCCTCTCCTAAGGCGGCGGCGGAGGGGCGCGGAGGCGGATGGGCGCGGCACCCTCCCACATTCAGGCCCTCTCCGCGGGGCCTGGGGCGCGGGGCCGGGACCCCCAGCCCCCACCCGCGCCGGGCCCAGCTCCCAGCGTGCTCGCGGCCGCGCCCTGAGCGCGCCAGGTCCCCTTCCTGCGCGCCCCCTCCCCACCTCCCCCGCACCTGCTCCTCCTCCTCGGTCCCGCCCAGCGCGCCGCAGCCGGATCCCCGGCGCTAGGAGAGAGGGGGCGCTGGCGGCGACACAAAGGGCGGAGCGGCGGGGCCGGGGCCTGGGAGGCATGGACGCCGAGTACCCTGCCTTCGAGCCCCAGCTCTGCAGCGAGCTCAAGCACCTGTGCCGGCGGTTGCAGGAGGTGTACCGCGAGCTCAAGGAGGACCTCACGCCCTTCAAGGATGACCGCTACTACAGGTGGGCGCGGCGCGGGCGGCGAGCGGCGGGCGGCGTCTTCCGGGCCTCAGTCCCCAACGGGACCCCGGCGGCTCCCCGGAATTGGCCTGGTCCCGTCCTCGGCCGTCTCTGCCCGCCGGGCGCGGAGGCCACGGAAGGCGCTGGGGTCGGGGCGTGGGGCGGAGAGGGACCGGGGAGGGGGCGGGGAGCAGGGGTGCCGGCTGCGGCGCGCAGTTTCTGGAGTCCAGGGCAGCCTCGCGACCCGGGCAAAGGGCCGACATCCGTTCCGCAGAAACCCGAGCCGACGCTCCCGCCTCTCGGGAAAGGAGCTCCGGGTTCTGGCTCCTCCCCGCGCCCCGCGTCGTTCTCTCCCCCGCGCCCGCCCCGCCGCCCCGCCGCCCCGCCGCCCCGCCGCCCCGCCGCCCCGCCGCCCCGCCGCCCCCGTTCGGGCCTCACGCAGCCGAGAGCTACCGCGCGCGTTCCGGCGTCTGGAGGAGGGTCTTGGCCGCAGCTCCGAGCGCCCCAGGCCCCTGGGCTTCGCGGGACGCCTCCGGGGCTGGGACGCCGCCGAGGGCTGGGGGCGGACGGGCGCAGCGGGGAGGACTGCGGGACGCCATGCGGGGACACCCTGGCTGGGAGCCGCGGTGTTGAACTTGGTTGTGTGCATCTCGGTCTCCCTCTCCTGCGACATGGGGGAGGGCGGTGGGAACTGCAGACCCTGGCGCTGGCGCCCGCCCCTTCCTCTCTGCGCTCTGCGGTTCCGGAGGGGAAGGAAAGTCTGTCCATCGCCAAAGGGCAATTTACCCAAATTAGCCGATTTACCCAAATTGGCGGTGTCAGGACAGGACCCAATCTCGAGTCGGCAGAAAGCTCCCTAACCCCATACCTCAACCTTCCTCATCTGTTAAATGGGAAGCCCGAACCAGAAGGTCTCCGAAAGCTGAGGTTTAATCATAATTTACTCACTCTGTGCTAAGGATGGCGAGGGTATCGCCCTGCAGTGGGGAACGGGTGGTCGTCATTTTTGTAAGACCGATCCTGTGGTAATAATCATAGGTACATGTCCAGAAAAAGATGTGTCTCACTTATCCTCACATCTGTTCACAAACCTAATGCCTTCTCCCGGCCTGATCAGCAACGCAGCGGGACCGTGGTCATGGTTGCTGAGTGAAAAAGACCATTTTAAAAAAATGTTAAATAATCATGTGATGTAGCTTTCGGGCGAGCCTGGAAATCTATCTAATGCAGCCTCCTGAGAGACCTGAGGGTATGGGAAAAGAACCCAGAGTTTCATATCATTCTTGTGTAAGATTATGTCCAATCTCCTTTCCTACTTGTTCCCCCACCCCTGTCCCTTACTCTGGTGGTGGTTTTTTTTTTTTTTTTTTTTTTTTTTAAATCTTATCTATCTGCTGCCTGTCTGTCTGTCTGTCTATCTATCTATCCATCTATCTATCTATATCTTTCTGTCTTATCCGTCTATCTATTTTTTGAGACAGGGTCTTGCCCTGTCACCCAGATTGGAATGCAGAGGTGCTATCTTGGCTAACTGCCTCTACCTCCCTGGCTCAAGCAAACCTTCTACTTCAGCCTCCGGAGTAGGTGGGAACCACAGGCCCTTGCCCCATTACCCGACTAATTTTTGTATTTTTTGTAGAGATGGAATCTTCCTGTATTGCCCAGACTGGTCTCAAACTTCTGGGTTCAAGTGATACTTCCACCTTGGCCTCCCAAAGTATTGAGGTTCCAGGCATAAGCCACCATGCCTCGCCTTTTTTTCTTTCTCTGTACTTTCTTTTCCTGGGAGTATTTCTTTGGCAACACAGCTAGTGAAAGTGAGATGATCGCAGTGCAAGTAGCCAAGAAGAGAACACACCCAGTGGTTAATCTCCATCTTTATTCATTGACCAATTTATTCACCTGGTAGTTACTGAGCATCTTTTATGGTCCTGCTGTTGTTCTGGGCATTGCGAATACAGCTGTGAGGAAGACAGGGTCTCTGCTGTCCTGGAGCTTACAGTAATAAACCTGAGAGAGTGACAGGGTGCAGCCACACAGAAGATAGTCAGGCTCATCTTGAAGGTAACATTTGTCAGAGAACTGAAAAATGAGGAGGTAACCAGACAAGGAGGCAGGGAGGAAAGTCCCAGAAGAGGAAGGAGAAGTGCAAAGTCCCTGAGGCCACAGAAACATAAAACGTTCAAGGCATAGAGGAAGACCAGCAAGCCTGGAGCACTGTTGTTAGAGCGATAGGCAGGGCCAACCTGTGAAGAGCCTTGAAGGTCAGATGAAGGAATGTGGATTTCATTGGGATTGCAATGTGAAGCCACTGGAGAATTTTACACAGGGCCAGGTGACATGAGCAGTTTGCTGCCCATCCTACAGCAAGCATTTGAGTCTTTGCTCCAGGAGCCACTTCCTCGGTTGAGTTGGAGGTCGAAGACAGATTCGCAGTGATTTGAAGTGATTAGTGATGGGTTCTGCACCCCCTGCCATGAGCACAGGTTGACTGCAGAGTACTTTACAATGTTTTGTACAGACAGGGCAGTTAGGCTGAATCACAAAGTCTGTTTTATAGTGACAAGATGTTTTAGATCACTGAACTGTCTTCAGCTCCATTGAAATTTTCTATCAATGGATTGTTGCTGTACAAAAGGAGGTGAAATACTCTTGGGTTTCTAAGTTGGGAAGCTGCTAGTTACAACTCTGCATCTGTCTAGCTGGAAGGTGAAATTGCTACTACAATTTTGGCTCCTTCTCTTCTCACCATCTTCATTTCTTTATTGGTGATTTATGAGTAAAACGCATCAGCTCTGTATTCCCTAGAGGACCAGGGACTCACCTCACGTGGTTGGCAGTTTTCTCATAATGGGGCGAAGCAAGGAACACAGCTGCTAAAGCTCCGTTTACAAAATGTGGTTTGCCCTTCTGTTTGCCAGCATGGCTGTTTGCATATTTGCTACATAATTTGGCATCAGTGAAGAGATGCAGCTATGTGATCAAAGGACTCATGGCCATTTTCACAAAACGAGAGATGACAGTCGTACTTTCTGTCAGGAGAGGGAAGGTGGAAAAGTGGGAGGCCAGGGATCTGTAATCCTGATTCTAGCCCCAGTTCTACCCTTTGCTAACTCCCCAGCCTTGGGGGGAATTATTGAGTTTCACTGGACAATCAGTTTCCACATCAGGATAAAGGAACCCGTAACTCTCACCTTCACAAGGATTTTGTAAGACTTCAAACACTTTACGAAGAGAACACTAAAGATGTATTCAGATACAGATAACAGAAAAACCACAGCGAAACCAGTCTAAACAGTAAGGAAATGGATTGGGTTGCTGATCCAGCAGCTTAATGATGTAATCAAGTTCTTGCTTTTTAACTTGGTAGCAGTTGGCTGCTAATAACCATTTGGGCTACTGCTTCTCATTCACATTCATCGGGAAAACTGGCTGGCTTTCTATGGCTGTCTCCAGAAGAAAAGGAGAAGTCTGTAACTTGAAGTCTATAGAAAACTCCTTGAATCTCCTCTAAACCCCACCAAAATGGTATAAAGAAAAAGACGGACGTGTTAACAAGGCCACGGAAAGTTCACGCACTGCAGATGGGAAGGGAAATTGCCATCATCACTGTGGAAAACCACTTGGCAGCAGCTACTAAAGTTGAACGTACACATCTCAGGTCCAGCATTTTCTGTTGGGTATATGCCCTGCAGAAATGCATACATGGAGGCCGGGTGTGGTGGCTCATGCTTGTAATCCAAGCACTTTGGGAGGCTGAGGCGAGCTGATCATGAGGTCGAGAGATCGAGACCATCCTGGCCAATATGGTGAAACCCCATCTGTACTAAAAATACAGAAATTAGCTTGGTGTGGTGACCCGTGCCTGTAGTCCCAGCTACTCGGGAGGCTGAGGCAGGAGAATGGCTTGAACCCGGGAGGTGGAGGTTGCAGTGAGCTGAGATCGCACTATTGTACTCTAGCCTGGTGACAGACTGAGACTCCATTTCAAAAAAAAACCGAAAGGAATGCATACATGGGGCCATCAGAAGACATGTACTAAAAAGGTTCATAAGCACAAGTTGTAATACTCCTAAACTGGAAATTAACCAGATACTAAAAAACAGAAGAATGGACAAAGGCAGCCAGGCAAGATGACTCACACCTATAATCCTAGCACTTTGGGTGGCCAAGGCAGGCAGATCATTTGAGCCCAGGAGTTCCAGACTAGTCTGAGCAACATAGTGAAAGCCTGTCTCTACAAAAAAATTCAAAAATTAGCTGGGTATGGTGGTGCGCAACTGTGATCCCAGTTGCTTGGGGAGCTGAGGCAGGAGAATCACTTGAACCCCGGGGGAACTGGTAAGATCAGGGATTCTGAATACTGGCTGCACATCACAATCATTTCAATGAGCTTTTCCTTTTTTTTTTTTTTTTGAGACAGGGTCTCACTCCCGTCACCAAGACTGGAGTGCAGTGGTGTGATCATGGCTCACTGCAGCCTTGACTTCCTCAGCCTCCCAAGTAGCTGGTACTACAGGCATGCTCCCCCATACCCGACTAATTTTTTTGTTCATTTGAATTTTTTAGTAGCAACGAGGTCTCACTATGTTGTCCCGGCTGCTTTTGAACTTCTGAGCTCAAGTGTCTTGAGGGAGCTTTCAAAAATACAGACCCTCAGGCCCCACCTTTGAGGATTCAGATGTAATTGGCCTGGGCTGGATCTCTGCCAGGGTGGAGAGCCATGAAGGATGAGTGAAATATCTTAGAGCAGGCCAGGCGTGGTGGATCATACCTGTAATCCCAGTGCTTTGGGAGGCCAAGGCAGGCGGATCACCTGAGGTCAGGAGTTTGAGACCAACCTGGCCAACATGGTGAAACGCCATCTCTACTAAAAATACAAAAATTAAGCCGGGCGCGGTGGCTCAAACCTGTAATCCCAGCACTTTGGGAGGCTGAGGCGGGCGGATCACCAGGTCAAGAGATCGAGACCATCCTGGTCAACATGGTGAAACCCTGTCTCT